AAGATTCTCTCTATTCTATTTAGAAGCTATAACAGTTATAGTTGCTGGTACTCTGTACCCTTGATTCCTAGGCCAAGATATGTTTCTAAGAATAATTACTTTCTCTTATCCCATGGCAGAAAGATTGAGGATTAGAACTAATATACCTATTTATTTATCTTAACTGAGGAAATAGAAAATAATGATGATACTATAAAACTCCTACTGGATAATCTAAATTACCCTATGCTGTGGTATCAATTCCCACTAATTTGTCCAGAGTTGTCTGCCTCAGGAAGAATTGAATTGCTATTTCCAATGCAAATTGAATATATTTATTTGCTCTCTTGACTACTCCTATTTCCCATAGAATGTCAGACTTTGAAGATACCATTGAATTTATTTCCCATTCTGTTTTGCTATCACCACTGTTCTCTGGCTTATATCTGGGTTCCATTCGTATTTCTGTGTTTACATTTCCTTGAGAACCTATGAATTATAAATGATCACCTCAAAAGATTTGATCCAAACTGAAGACAAGACTTTTTGATTATAATAAACCAGTTATCTTGGGAGAGGAAGAGGAATTTCCTGTTGAGGAGGCTGCCATGAGAAAATATTAGGTGTATGTGTGTGTGTGTGTGTGTGTGTGTGTGTGTGTATGTGTGTGTGCGTGCGCACGTGTGCACATGTGCGCGCAGGCATTTAAGACAATAATTTGGATAATGTTTAATATGTCTGTATATGTATTGTACATGTCAGTATGTATTTAGTAAGAAATAAAATGAGAAAGTTAGGTTGCACTAAGACTGCATTTGAGTCTTGAATAAGATGCTAAGGAATTGCAATCTATATGGTACACATAAGTTTATAATACAATATCCATTAGGCAGGAAACAGTCTACCAAACAGCCCAAAGTAGAGCTTATAATGAACAACATTTCTGAATCCTTTTTTTTTTTTTTTTAGTTAGTGCCAGAGATAAAAGCAATGTTATATGATCAGAAGCTGAGCAAAAAATAAAAGTTAGATTTTCCATATGATAGATGATATTTTTATACTAAATTTAGAATTTCATGATAAGAACATACAGATACAAGACTAAGTATGCTCCTTTGCCAGCCAATAATGAACTTTTTATTATCTTTCATTGATGTTGTACTTTTAAGAGTTTCTCTTTATGTTTGATTTTCCTCAGTTTGACTATGATGTGCTTAGGTGTAATTTTCTTTGTATTGTTTTCTGCATGAGATTTTCTGATCTTTTCGGTTTTGTAGATTGATGTCTTTCATCAATTTTAGGAAATTCTTGACATTGTCTCTTCAAATATTTTTTTTCTGCATCACTGCCTTCTCTCCTTTTAGGATTCTATTTACATGTATGTTAGACTGTTTATTATTGTCCCACAGGTCTTTTTATGTTCTTATTCTTTTTTTTTGTCTTTATGCTTCTGTTGGAATGATTTATATTCACTACTTTTAGGATTTATTCTTTTTCCGTTGTGTCAATTTTTACTGTTAAGCCCATTTAATAATTTTGTCATTTCAAATATTTTATGTTTCTATTCTAAAACATTTTAACAGTTCTTTTCTGAAATTTAAACCTTTCATAGATTATTTGTATATTTTCCTCTAATTTTTTATCCTAGTTATAATGATTGTTTAAAGTCATTGTTAATTCCAACATCTGGGCTATCTGTGCATCCAGTTTTCATTGACTGGTTTTCTTTTATCTATGTTTCACATTTTCCTCCTTCAACTATAATGTCTCCTAGTTGTGCACTGTATGGCAGTCATTGTGTATAAACAAATTATAAAGACTGAAATAGAAAATATTTATCCCCCACTAGGGGATGACCTCTCTGCACAAATCAGGAATTGAGCTAAATTGGGATTGGGTTATAATTTTATTTAGTTTTAATTTACTACTGATTTTAAAAGCTTTAAGTTGAAATCCCTCCTTTCAGGTGGGCTTGGTATCCATGCACCATGTAGCTGAGATTTTGCTTTGTTTTTCACCCCTGTCCCGGGATTTCTCTGCTACTGGAAATCATTCTTTGCCTCTCTGCCCAAATGCTACTGAACTCTTGATAAAATTTCAAAGGTTAGAACTGGTGAATAGTGATGACTTGGGATCATGTGAAATATTGAAAACATATCAACCTCAGATAAAGAGCAAGTACTTGCTACTGAGCTAAGATTGTTAAAAGTTCAACCAGTTTCTCTTTTCCTCCGCAGAGTCCTCTACTCGGTGAAGGGTCTACTTCTTCACCTGTTCCCTGGGTTTATGGCTGCTTCTAGTCCTAGTTTCTATAGGAAAGGCTTTTTTCTCTATGAGATTTAGTTTCCTCTAAATTTCTTTGTGTCCTCAGCTCCCTAGTGGGTTGAAAATATACATAATTTGGTAAAATATCTGACTTTTATTTATTTTCATGCTGGGAGTATTGGTCACCTGGGATCATTTCCATCATAACCAGAAGCAGAACTTTAATGTCTCTTTGTTTTTGAAATCACTTTATCAACTTTTCTTCTGTAAAAATAATAATCATTGCAAAAAAGTCCAAAAGTCCAGAAAAATGAATAATACTTTTTGAATATGAATTTTATAATTTTGCATCATTTACTCTAGTCCTCTCTAGACTGCTTTAATTTAAAAGTATTTGGTATCCAAGTGGAAAGAATGTTGCTTTCTCTTTCAATCTTCCATTCAATGTTCAATCTTTAAATTGCTCATTTGCTTCTTGGGTTCCGCTTTATCTCCATTCACCTTTCACATGTACCTGCTGTGAAATGGAAGCTCAAATGCATCACCCTTTGCTATGAAGTGAAAATCAGCTTTGTAGTATCTCGTCCTTCCAAAAAAGTGCTCTCTATGGCACTCAGAAAATAAATGTACACTGAGGACATTATGGTCTCTGACTACCAAAACTCTCATGAGATGGAAGTTGGTAGTTGGGGGTAGTTGATGGACACCAATATGTTAATTTCTCTTAATACGCAGTATTTAGTTACAAAACCACTGAAAAATATTCATGGAAATGTCATATCATAGGATAGCTATGGAAATATTACAATGAAACTTAGTGATCTTTTTTTTGCAAAAGAGAAATACAAGAAGTCCTAAGCCAAAGATCTTTCCTAAAACACACAGCATAGGAAAGGATCCAAAAGAACAGATAAAATAAGGCACTGGTGTCAGATAAAGTCAACTCCTTTATTTCATAACTTATGGCTCTTATCTTCGTTTTCAGTCAATATCAGTGACTAAGTTTGGTTTTCTTCATATACTGTTTACGGAACTATCAGGGTAGTGGCATATAACTTCTCTATCTTGTAGAGGAGGTTGAGGTAAAGTTCCTCTTGTGCATTTCTACAGGTGACAGAGTGCAGCCTTGGGTGAATATATTGTACTTGGTAACTTTCAACTATTTCTCATGACCCCAAAAAGGATGCTGGTGTTTTACACGCCTATGGATGTATCTTAACCTTGTATATGTTTCTTTTCCTGTTTATTAAAATAAACTTCTAAGTCATCTCAAAAGTAGTTGAGATAAAGTCTTAAAATAAATACATAAGAATAAAGTGCATTTCATACCATCTGAGCATTTTTATATTTATTTTCTAAGTTGGTAACTGTATTAATTCTGTCACAAGAAAAATTAACGATAGAGGTGAACAAGGTCTTATTTCATCTACTTTGACTGTGTTGCTGAATAAGACCAGTTTACTATAACAGGGGCACTAGTTTTCACTTCTAAATGCAGGAGTAAAGATAGATAAAATTATTGTTAATGGTATCATTTCAAGTTTATTTTTAAATGATGGCTTAAAAGAGGTATCTGACTTCATTTCTTCTCCTCATTTAACGTGTATTCTCTTCACACAAAGGCGACTCCCAGTCAGCTAGCCGAATGGAAAGTACGACTTGATTAAGGATCTTTTTTGTCAGTTAATTTGTGCCTAATGTTTTTAGCTTTCCCATGGGCTGTTGTAGAAAATGGTAAATCTGGTTTAAATGAAACCTGATCCCGTTAATGGTTTAATAGCAGCTGCCACAGGGTTGTGGCATTTTTCAACAGATGCCTCTGTTTCATTTTATCCCTAAACTAAATCTTGGAATATTTACATACGTCATATACCATATACCCACATATACTTTTGGCTAAATAACTATTGCTATCTTTGTCCGTTTATAATTATTCACAAAAATTTTTAGAAAGAAACCCAGGGCTCTTACCTATTTTTTTAAAGGTTATTCATGTCTTGCACTTTCCTAAAATTTATTTTTAAGGGTGAAGAATAGGCTCTATCTCTGCATCTGAGGACTTGAACTGTGACTTGTTCAATTGGATTATTTCATGTGTCTGTTTGCCTGTTTCTATTTCTGTAGCACTGACAATTGCTTATACAATGATGTACATGATAGTGCTAACTGAAATAAGCAGAAGAGTCACAAAATTAAATGGGACTCTATTTTTTCTTCAAGTGTAGACCCTGTGTTAATAATTCTAGTTATCATTATGGATAGGATTCATCTCTCTGGAGTATGATAGCTTGTACAACCACTTTTTGAAAAGCATTTATTCTGTGCAATGCACTTGTCCTGGGTACATGAATGATATAAAGATGAATGGCAGGCATGCAAAACAATGACTGTGATGGAAAATAGAAACAGTTATACAATAGAGGTACCAGCTCAAGCAAAGGGGAATGAAAACACCAAATACCGTGTTAGTTAATATATTACAAACTTGTTTTCTAAAGCTCATAAAGTGTAGAATCTTGAACTGGCAGGGTCATATTTGTCTGTTGTCTGGGTCACCTTTTTATGTTTTCTCAATTACCTGGGGCTGGAAGGGTTATTTATGGGAATATATCGAATGATGAGTTTCCAAGGGGAAACAATATGAGTACAGACCAACTTTTTACTTAACCCTCACATTTTGATAGCTATCATTGAATATAGGTGTATTTCTAAGAGCACAAGCATCCTAATGTTTCCTGACTTAATGTCTTTCCTAGGTACTTCCTCAAAAGAAAGTTGTGAAACCTGGCATGGCCTTCTTGTTTGAGCTCTTCCTCCTTCGTGGGACATATGCTTGCCTTGACCGGGTTGTGGGCTGGGCAGTGTTCCCTTTGTGTGACAACAACTTAGAGGTAGTGGAGGGAAAATTCAAATGTCCTCTCCTCCGAGGACATTATGACCAGAAACTCAGTAACTTCAGGAAAATTGAAGATTTGATTTGCCTGGACTTGGACCACTGGCTGTGCAATCTCTATTTTCAGGTTTGCAATACAAATTTATAAGTAGAAAAAAATTTAAAATTTTTGTAAAGCTGCTTCTTCTTAGCCTTTAGTGTCCTTTCATTCTACTGGAAATTAATACAGTGTCATATAATGGTAAAAGCAATTACATCTTAATGCTGATTTCTGATAATGCAGATTAAATTGATACGTAGAAATAAGCATTAAAGTTCTAGAGTTAGCAGGAAACTTAAAGATCATTTAAAATCATCTTTTTTTGTTGTGAATGGGCCAGAACCACCACCCACCTTCTAGTTCTCAGTGCACAACCTGTCACAGCTGGAGTGGAGTGTATGACTTCATTCCATCAACATGGGGATGGGGCTATGGTATGTTTTCTTGTCAAAAGTATTTACTGAACTTCTATGGTGTTGGGCATTGACAGCTCTAGCCACACAAAAGAGATAAGATGTGGTCTCTGTCTTCTGGATTCTTATCTGTCTGATGAGATAGATATGTGTTCATCCAAAAGATAATTAGTGATCCCCATTTTCACAGGACTTGAATGGCCATCACAAAGCTATTTTTCTTTGCTATACAGATTTAAAGCAGCTTTGTTTATTTTCTAACCAAGTTTTTGGTTCAAATCTTGAATTTGAACATAATACTAATATTTTTCTCTTTTTTTGTCCTATTAAAAAATTTGTGAAAGAACAAAGTAATATTATGATTTATCTGCAGAGACCCACTGGCCATTACCCATTGGAGATGACTGTAATTGTCTGGTAGCACTGTTATTTGGGAGACAATAATAAAAATTTTCTTCCTCTATATACTTAATGGGGGAGTAAACGAATCTTATTAAGGAGAACAGTAATATTATGCAAGACATATTACTTTCTGATTGTAGGCAAAATAACTAGGTGTGTACCTGCTTCTTTTTCAAAACAAAAATGAAAAATTCTTTTCTGCTAACCCCATTTTTCTCTTATGTGAAATTCTAAAACCCTGAGCATAAGATTCTGATTTGCCACCATAGCATGTGTATAAGGATGCAAGAGAGAAAATTATATCAGAAAGATAGCCTATTACTTTTTCCCAGGAAACTTTTTTGAATATTTTTCACTTTCTTGAATATTTCTTTCTTATGTCATTAACTATTTTTTCCAAGCGCTTTTATTATTAAAGTTTTAAACATAGAGAAAAGTTTTTAAAAATTGTGTATTGAGGACCAATTTATTCTCCACTAGATTCTGCAATCTTGTAATTTCTTTTGGACTTAAAATATTGTTTCTTAGAAATAGTAAGTACTGAATGAATATTTGCTAGTTTCATGCCATTATGCATGTTAGATAGTGTTATTGTGAAGAAGAAAATAAAGAACAATTCCAAACTGAAATAAAGAAAAAGACAAATACAAATAGAGTAAACAGAAATATCTGAAGCGATTATGTAAACTGGTTAACACCAAAAAAATACATTATTCGTAACAAAATCAACACAAGCACGTAATTGACTTCGTTATTCACTTTCTAGATTTTTTAAATTGTCTCATTGTTTTAGAGAAAAACCGTGTATGTAATATTTTCAACATTTTAGATGACAGAGTTATCTCTTATTAGGTAATTAAACTTCCGTTGCATTTGGATGATCAAACAAACCATGAAAACCATATTCAGCCTTCCCCTGAATTTCCAGTTTGTCTGATGACTACAACAGAGAAAGCAGAATCAGGTACCAGCCTTGCAGAGAAAAAAACAGAGAAATACGTTTGTGCATCCATGGATGATGAAGCTAAATCCACCTTACAGTCTTCTCAGGGTTGGTTGACTTTCCCCCCCCACCATTTTATTGCTAGTATTTCAGTTGTGTTATATAAAACTGGATAAAAAGCATGATATGAAACTGGGTAAGAGTCATCCTTTAGTAATATATTACATTCAATATCATGCCATTTAAAGAAAATATAATCATTAACAAGAATAGTTTTTATGTCACATTGTTTATTATTAGTACATATGTAAGTATAAAATAACCTCATTAAAACACAAGTCTTTCTCCATGACCTGATTTCTTTAAAAAAATTTTTTTGGGGAGGGAATAATTTGACTTCTATTGGTTCTTATTTCTAGATTTTAATCTTTCTTGCTTGCTCATGAGACTAGTAACCAAAATATGGCTATGAGAGATTAAATATTTTCAGAAAAAAGTCACCAAATAATATAGTTTATTTTATAGGCTTTTGTTTTAGAAGACTGGTTTAATCAGGCATGAAATAAGCAAATAAAGTTTTTTGAAATATTCAGTCTACAACAATTCCAATTTACAGAATAGACTAGTAGATATTATTATTTTTTAACACAAAAATTATTGCATTTACCGAAAGATTTACAAGTTTGTTTAATAGGGTAGATCCTCTAGTAGCAAATAATAGGATCAGTTGAACTAGAAGAGGATGACTTGGTTATAATTGCAATAATGGTAGCAGTTATTGGACTACCAGAAGAATACTAACACTATAAGCATTACCTATAAATAGTAAACCTTATGGAAAGTACTTTATTTTTTATTTTTGAAATTATTAAATATTTTCAACATCCACTACAGAAAATAACATAATATACACCAGTACCCAATTTTGCTGATTCTTCTTGCCTTTTTTTCTAGGTGGGGTGAGTAGTAGGATAAAATTAGATTCAATTTTTGGTTATTGACTATTCAGTCATTCTATGATCAATTCATTTAGAAAATGATCGATTAACTTGGTCATGTCATCTTTTAATTTCTAAATTTACATTCTTTTTCTAAAGTTTTAGTGAGCAGGCAATACATTCAGATTGTCAAAGTGAAGACAGCCACCTCTATTGCCCACCAGTAACCATCTTTTTTTCCAAAAAGTAACATTTTACATATGATTAAATCTCTTAGTGAACTACTCTTTGATTCCAATCCCAGCCTTCTCAGATTTGTTACCTATCATTTCCATGTATATCTTAAAGTATTTTCTACATATGTATATCTTTTCTATATTTTTAAACTGTATGTAAAAGTTTCATACTTCCCATCTGCTTCTGTAACTTATTTTCTTTCAACATTGTCTTTGATATTTATGTCTTTTTATATCTATCCATAAGATATTTCTAGCTTATTGATTTTATTGCTGTATAGAATTCCTTTGCATGATTATAGAATTTACTTATTCTTGTTGTTTGCAGTTATACTCTATTGCAAGCATGGCTATAATGATTATTCTTGAACATGTCCTTCATGTGCACATGGGTGAGAATTTCACTAGAGAATATATAACCCAGAGAGAAATTGAGTAATCAACAAATCATAATATAAATTGTTTTTAAATGTGTAGGCAAGTGACACATTATAATCCCAAATAGTGCTTCAATTTACTCTCCTAACATCTGTGTAGGAGAGTTGCTTTTGGCTTGTATTCTTTCATCTCTTGTTATTGTCAGATTTTAAAATTTTGCTTATTTAATTGCCATGAAATATCTGTTTAATTGGGATTTTCCTGAGTACACGTTCGTTTGAACATATATATATATCTGTTGACCATTGGGTTTTGTCTCTTGCGAATTGCCTGTTCCTATAGTTCATCCACTTTTCCCTTGGGTCACTTGTTTCTATTTCCTCATTGATCTGTAAGAGTTCTGGTGCCTTTTTCCTAGGTGGGGTGAGTAGTAGGAAGCAATTAGATTCAATTTTTGATTATTGATTATTCAGTCATTCTGTGATCAATTCATTTAGAAAATGATAGGATTAACTTGGTCATGTCATCTTTTAATTTCTAAATTTACATTCCTTTTCTAAAGTTTTAGTGAACAGGCAATACATTCAGATTGTCTAAGTGAAGACAGTCACCTCTATTGCCCACCAGTAGCCTAGTTCTCCCTGGAGGAAACCAATGTATTTTGTGATTATTCAATAGATATTATATGTATCTATGAGAAAATACATAAAACTATTACTATAATTTTGAATATCATGAAATCTATCATTACAATCCTATATTCATTTCTAAAATTGGTTAATACTTGCCTTCATTGCTTTTCGTTTTTTTGCTTGGGTTTTATTGTTTCATTGATGTTTTTCAGTATTGAACTGCTCTATTTGCCTCCTTTAAACCTCTACTGATTTCTTGTTTTCTATGCATTTTTCCTCTTAACTTTTTTTTGCCTACTATTATTTTCCTCTGATTTTCTCTGTGGTTACTTTTTAAGTCTTTGATTTAAAGTTTATCTCATTTACTTTCAGTCCTTTTTTATATGATAGATTGCAAATTATGACTGCTTCTGTCCATTTCTCCCTATAATTCTGCCAGATAATGCTTTATATATTTCAAATATGTAAATGCATACAAGTTTATGATTGTTATAGTTTTGGGAATGCTATTATTATTTTGATATTAATGCAGCTGTCTTCCATCTGTCTATTAATGCTTTTGAATTCACATTCTATTTCTTCTGATGTTCATACTATCACCTGGATTATTTGTCAACACGTACTTTTATGGTATAAAACATTTTTCTAAACTTCATTCCAAAATTTTATAATTCATCTATGATATATTTGGCTAAGTATTAGCAGCATAAATTTGAATTTTATTCTTTTGTTAAATACAAGTTGGGATACAAAAATACGGTTAGAATAATTTATAGTATTTGCAATACAGCAGGGAAACTATAGTTAACAATAATTTACTGCATGTTTCAAAATAGCTAGAAGATTTGTAATATTCCCAACACAAAGAAAAGATATATGTTTGAGGGGATGGATATCTCAATTACCATGATTTATTCATTACACATTGTATACAGGTATCAAATAACACGTTCCCTCAAAATATGTACAGTTAATATATATCAATTAACAAATAGAAGGACAACTAAATATTATGTATCTTGTTAATAGGCACGTTTAAATATTTTGAAGTTATTTTTATTACTGTTGTATTTGATGACAATTTATTTGCATTTTATATTTATCATTCTATTTTTTTGCTTTAAATTTGTTTTTTATTTTTGACTTTCTTTTTAATCAAAACAAATTTATTTGTTATTCTCCACTGTTTGTATAACCTACAATGACTTTAGGTATTGTCTTTAATTTTCTTGTATACATATTTACCTATAAAATATCTTTTTTTTTTTTTTTTTTTGAGTTGGCGTCTCCCTCTGTCACCTAGACTGGAGTGCAGTGGCCACTCCCGGCCACCGCAGCCTCGACCCGCTGGGCTCTGGCGATCCTTCCGCCTCAGCCTTCCAAGTAGCCGGAACTACAGGCGTGCGCTACCACGCCTGGCTGATTTTTGATTTATTGTGGAGATGAGGTCTCGCCAAAGTTGCCCAGGTGGGTCTCGAGCCCGCGGGCTCAGGCAATCCACTCACCTCGGCCTCCCAAAGCGCGGGATTACAGGCTGAGCCACCAAGCCCTGCTATAAAATATCTTTAAACATCTAAGTCCATTTCATATTTTTATTCTCTTTCTGAATGTGGCATGAACTTTTAGCATGTTTCAGCTGCCCATTAAACACCTCCTCTCACTGTTGCTATTGTTGGCCATGCTTTCAATTTCACTTTTTTATTAAGCACTACATTTCTTTTTTTTTTTTTTAACTCTTAATGGAAAATTAATTTACTGACACATCCGTGCTTCATAACGTTTTTAGTATAGCTTGTATTCACTGTGGCTTTATTTTTCTTCTTGCAGAAATAAATCTTTTGTAATTCGTTTGCAGTTTGGATCTCTCTCTGTCATTGTATGTCTGAAAAAGTCATTTTCCCCCACTTTGGATAACTCCATGTGTAAGATTCTAGTGTAATAATAATTTTTCTTTACTATTTTCTCCACTTTCTTTTTATGACTATTGTGACTGATCAGAAATCAGGATTATGTGTGTAGTTATTAAGAAGGAGGTGGGTGGCTGGACTCGGTGGCTCAATCTGTAATCGCAGCACCTTGGGAGGCCGAGGCGAGTGGATTGCCTGAGCCCGAGGGTTCAAGACCCACCCGGGCAACTTGGCGGGACCTCGTCTCCACAATAAATAAAAAAAGAGCCGGGTGTGGTAGTGCGTGCCTGTAGTTCCGGCTACTTGGAAGGCTGAGACGGAAGGATCCTCGAAGCCCAGCAGGTCGAGGCTGCGGTGGCCGGAGCAGCCACTGCACTCCAGTCTGGCAGACAGTGAGGCTACAACTCCAACAAACAAAAAAAAAAAAAAGAAGGGGATAATGTACTTCAATTTCCATTTTAGGTAACTCTCTCCCTGGTAGTTATTTAGAGGGTTTATCTGAGGAGGGCCTGTCTAGAAACAGATCAGTTAGGAAAAATTTAGAGTAGTCCAAGCAAAAGATGAAGGCCTCCATTAGAGCAGAGATAGTAACATTGGAGAAGAGAATGCAAATTCATAAAGCATTAGAGAGGTGCAATAGAGTAACCATAAGAATAAAAGTAAGAATGATACTATTGATTGATTGAATGTGGATGGCAAAGAGGAACAGAGGTTAATTCCTAAACTTTTAACATGGATCCATGTGGATATCAACCAACAAGTGATAGAATATAAAGAAGGAGAAATAAAGTTAGAGGAAAGATTATGAGCTTGATTTTGGTTCTACAGGGTCTAACATTCATATATAATATCCAAATAAAATGTTCAAGAGATCATTAGGCAAGTGGATGTGAAACTCAGGAAAGAGAGGGAGAGTCAGGAGAAATAATACGTTTATTGGAGCAGCAAAAACAGAGACACTAGCAGAAACCACTAAGGGATTGAGTTTAACCAGGGCATGCTTGTAGAGTAATAGAA